TGGCGCGGGGGGGCGCCCCTCTCGCCGTTCAAGTAGCCCGCGACTATTGAACCGGCCAATGAGGAGCGCGCGCGGGCGGCGGCGCGTCACGCGGCCTACGGGCAGCGGCAGGGGCCAAGGGAGAACGGGGAGAGGCGCGCTGCGGAGCGCAGGCGTGGCCTGCGGCGAGAGGGGGCGTGGCTTGGGGAGCGGGAGGAAGCGAGCATGCGCAGTGGGCGGCGGGCAGGGAGTCCCGCCCCCCCCCGGGTCCCGCGCCAGGGAAGCAGCCCAGCACTGGTATTTGAACTGTTTTTCCATCTTTGCCTTCCTACTTAATGTCATGACTTATTCTTCTTTATTTTCGTTGCTCAGGAAATAAGAACACACACACACACCTCTATCCAGAGGCTGTTTAATGTCTTTTAAGTTTAAATTAAAAAGTCAGATGCTAAAGAGCACACAAGAAAAGTAACTTGGAATGAGTTACAAAATGAAGAATTGAGGCAAATGAGACGCATGGAGGAAATTTAATGCAATCCATTCTAAACAAGAGTTCACATGTAGTTTTTAAAGTAATCGTGTAAATCTAAAATTCAGAGATAATTCTCCCCACTTTCATGTGTGTCAGTTACATACAATGAGCTGATAGCATTGAAGCACTTGCTCAGTACCGCTAACAAATAACATAGCTACACATCAAACAGCTGATTTTCTCCTAAATGTCCTAAGTCCATGAAAACAAATTTCCTCATACATTCTTCCAAATGGAGAATATTCCTATTTATAGTCTCTAACAATACTGAAAACGTACTCCTGCAAAAAGGCTATTCAGTATCTGGTTCTCTAGTTTTCCTTAGCTATGAAGAACATTTTGTGTATATATAAATGACGTGTGCATTTAACACGTACAACAGTTTATATGAACTAAAATGGACCAGTATTCAATATGGTAATAAGTAAGAATAAAATGAAAGCGTAAAAGGAATAATAAAAACATTTCTCAAAAAATAATGTATTCGACTCCATAGTGGACTGCCTTGGTTGAAAAAATAAAAATAAAAAAAATAAATCACTCCGCCTTTTCCTTGTTGCTTCCAATTCAGGCTGCAGCCTCAAAAAAAGCAATTAGTCCATCTTGATCACAGCCATCCAGAATTTCCAGAAGAAGAGGAACTTTCGTTTTCACATTGGTGCCTTTAAATTTAAATTTATCTATGAAGAGATCTGTGATCATACCTACAAAATAAAGTTCCAAGATTTTTATTTGCCTTGTTTTCACTATGAGATATCTCTACTATTAACTCTTTGCTATGTATAGACTATTCTAGTCGATTTTGGTTTTAGACACGAGACCGTTTTTAAACTTCATGTTTTAAACAATGATTTTCTTTTGAATAAACCCAAAGCACTCTCCTGTTAGCCCAGATTCCAGCTTCATTCCAAAGCAGGTATTTCTGCCTTAGAATTACCCATACTTGAAACACTCCGGAGAAAGGAACTGTCAAAGGGTATGAAAGGAGAACTGGGTTTATAATGGATACATTATCAAATTAGCACCTGGCAGAGATTACTTGAGCTAAAGGCTATATGGGGAGCACCAGAAAAGTTAACAGAATTTCCTTCACTTAATTACATCAAAGATTCTCCCTTCCCATCCCATGTGTATTTTTCTGCTTTTCTGTTAACTTGTAAAAGTCTTTTTCCTGTGGCAGAACTTAATCACTCATTCAACTTAAATATATTCTTAAACGCCATCCTGAATTAGAATACATTTCTGCATCATATGCATAAAGACAAGGATCATCCGAATATGAAAAGCTGCGTAATAGAAAATACAAAAGTAACTTGCTAATAATCCTGTATTTGCATTTGCAGCACTAAGCTTATGATAGTAAGACAATTTTAGAAATTCTCAGGCAAATAATTCTTGAGGACCTTTGGAGAGTTATTTAAATTTGTAGTAGCAGAACCAGTTTTGGTGTGTGCTAAGTTCTACTACCTTACCTTTAACTTTGGAAGGTTATGATCAAAAATACTGTGTAGCCATCCAGCCTAGCTGTATGAGCAGATGGACATATATGGCTAGACACCTCTAGGTCTCCCGAAGCTATTTAAAAGTACCCCCTTATCATATTATTTCAATGCTACAGATACTGACTTCCTAACTATTTCAGTCACGTCCAATGTGTTCTCTGAACATTAATTTGCATTTAGAAAAAAAAGTTGGGTTAATCAACACACCATAAAGTCTCTCGAGATGTGCAGGTTGTTTCTTGTATTCCTCAAGCAGCTGATCTGCCTCTTCTAAAATGCTACGGTACTTAGGTAGCAGGAAGTCCACATTTCCTTCATGAACCTGTAATTCCTCAAAGACATTTTAAATTGTGAAAATTAGAGACTGGTACGTACTAAACAAACATAAAAGCAACAAAAAAAAAATCAGCTTGGATCTGACAGGAGGAAATACCTCAGGGACAATGCCCTTCACCATAACTCTTACTAGTTTAGAAGTGCCTTATTTTCTAGGTCTTCTAATGAAATGCCAGATGTTACTTGTCACTTCATACATTAGATTCTCACAATGCTACGTGTTACATCTTCGAGCTCCGAGTGCTGCCAGAACAGGATCACTCTGCAGCTCAGCCTCTACAGAATCAAGCCTAACGAAGGCCCAAAGCCTTCACCACGCTTTTACAGAATAAACACCTTTAACAGAATAAGTATATTTACAGAGTAAGTACATTCTTTTACAGAATAAGTAAATTCCTAGGAAGTGTAGCACACATTAAAAGTCTAAAGGTAAAAGTAAATCCCAAAAGTACTGCTGAACTCCTAACAGCAAGAGGTTTTAAAGACATCTTCTAAACGCCTCAGTCTACTATTAGATCAAATCAACATAGATCCTTTTATCCCATACAGAAAGACTGGTTTTTTTCTAGACTGAAGGTAATTATGCATTTGAGTCTCCAGGAATAATAGCTTTTATCAGTCGCCAGATTATTTCACTGCCTCTTAATAAATAAATTATTTAGATACCAGTGACACAAAGTTTAAGGTTTGCTAACAAAAAAAGCCTAAAAGCAAGCACAAAACACTTTCTCCAAGAGCTGCAACATCATTATTTATGCAGAAACATATCACGCAGTAAGAATAAATTATTATTTCGTTATCTCTCAGGTTTGTTTAATCAAGCTTAAGTAAAATACTTTTACTGATAATAAAATAAAAATTTACAATATATTGTGTGGTCACCGGTAGTAAAGTTTTCCCACTAACCAAAGAGTTCAGACAACTAGTCCTTTGGTGGAGGCCAGCGCAAGAAGGAATCAGCTGCCCATGTCTACTATCTGATTTAAACATCCTCAACAACAATCAGTAATTCTATGTTTTTCACTGTTATATACTACAAATAGGAGTTTTACTTTAAAATGTTTGTCTCCTAGACGACTACTACACATGTATTGGGAACAGAAAAAGATTAGACAACATTATAACACATGCTGACTTGAGCCTTACAGCTTGATATCTGCCAACATAACCCACACAAAAATCCCTCAGAGGAGAATACTTACTTTCAAAGCATCTATTAAGTGAACCTTCTTGGCCAACAGCTGCTGATACTCTAATTTGGGGTGGATGAGCTTTAATGTATACCTCACAGATTCTTCATTTATGTCTAGTAGGGCATCAAAAAACCACCAAAAACAACAAGCAAATGAGTAATGTTTCATTTAAAAGAATATAAAATGAAGTCAAAGACAATGAAACAGTAAGGAAGTTTTACCATATGATATATTAAGATTAATCTTCCTTTTAGTAGCCTCTTTGGAAAGCACATCTTTTAAGATGGATATGGTAGAAATGTTGTCAGACTTAAAAAATCCCTCACCTTTTCTATTAAAAAAAAAAAAGAAAGAAAGAAAACTTTTAAACAAGCAGACCAACCTGAAACAGATGCATGCATTCGATACTTCCCCATTCTAAAATACAAGACCTATAAATTAACACCTAAATCAGAGAAAGCAACCTCTACATAGGTCATGATGATTCTTCATATATTGGGTGGCTGCATACACCCATGTTTTTCCCTCCTTTCCTAGTCACAGCGTAACCGTGTCAGAGAACGGAATTTGTTCTAGTAACTAAGACAAAGCGTTATCTGCAAGCATACACAGATAAACCAATTTTATCTTATTTGTAGCATGGCATTAAGATTACACAAGTAAGATTTTGGATGGTATTTTATATACCAACATTCTTCTTAAGTTTATCATTCTAAGACCTGGAAGGCAAACAGGAAGGCAAGCTGCAATACCAGAATGGAGAAAAAACAGGCCCTCCACCACAAGAACCCCAACAACTTTCTAGTTGTTAGAGATTGTATCGTTACCGTACAGTATCAAACATGGTAATATTTGACAGTCCCTTTTCAGCAAAAATTCCCATTATCTCTACTGGGAGTTTTTGCTGGGAGTGGGCACTAAGAGGGATGGGGAGGCAAAAATTAGCATGTGCATGAGCATGGTCCCCATAGACTGGTCAAGAATGAAAAAGACAACCAACCCAGCATAGCCACACACTGCTTCAGTGACTATATTTTACCTGTAAGTACTTTCAAGCTGTGTACCCAGAAAGGTGTTCTGAAAATAAAAGGTGATAGTCTCTCCAGCTGGAGTCTTTTCAGGGACTTCAGGCAAGCAAAACACCACCCAGGAATGAATTTCAGCAAAACTGAACTGGCCTTTGAGCATCAGTGTATTCATGGGTCTATGTAAGTACAACAGTTTAAAAAAAAAAAAAAATAATAAAAGCAGTCATTAGTTACTAAAAGTGGCACTACCAATGAACTGGTTATCCAGATTGGAAAAAAAAAAAAACTTTAATTCCACGTGGCCATCATCTTTTGACCAACATCCTTCAAAAAAAACATGGCTAACTCTGGTATCTTGCTAAGTAGCTGTGTATTGCAGATTACATTTTCTATATTTCAAGATAAAAAGCTATGAGTCCATGCAAATTTTATCTACTAGTAGGTACGGCAAAATCAGACAAGGACTGGTTGGAAGTTTTTGACGTATCCCATTTCAAGTTGTTAAGCTTGAAACTTATGAAAAAAGTAAATAACTGACAAAAGAAAACCAAACATGACTAAAAGCCTCAAATGTCTTCCATTCTGTAAATCACAGGCATATAGCATTTATACCAAAACCAAGGAACACCCTTGCGTTTCAAGTAAATACGTTTGGTATCATTCATTTAATCCTTCAGTTTTAAACGACCTACAGATCGGTGGTAATATAATATACTAATTAAGGGGGTGGAAATCAAGTAAAATTGAGTAAAACAAAGACAGGGATACGGGGGGGGAAGTCAGTTTTACAGCTAAACGAATTACAATAAAGGGGCCAGGGGAACTGAGGCTGCAACTGAAAAAGACAGTGTCACACAGGAGAGTTTCCTTTCTGCCACACCCTCAGCTCCACTAACACATGGAGCTGCACTATAATGCCAGATCAATAAAATGAAGACAATAACCTGAAATACAATGGTAAAGAACGACAAGGAAAGCAGGAACCTGTTAAATCTGCATCTCCCTTTTTTCTGGTCAAAAATTCCACTACACGCAACCACAGGCTCAACTTTTTAAGTTAAGCGTGATTACTTAAACTTATACAGTAAACACTGTTTCAATGAGATTGTTTCAGTTTTTCAGAAGAAAAGGGCATTTATTTTTCTTTGTAAATACCGGTCATGGTCAATAGAATGAGTTCTCTGATGAAGTGAAAGTGGTTTAATCTGATATTGACGAACTTGGCAGGTTTTCGGTTGAATTCTTGGGGTTACATATGCTTGAAGTGTCCCATATTGTCCTTCAATTGATCGAATCTGCATAAATAGAAACAGAACTCACAAACAAGAACAGGAAGAAAAAGATTAATTTACCAGAGTTCAGAGAATCGGTGGGTATCTGCAATTTATTTAGGAAAATCTGTAGATTTGCAGCAGGACTTCAAGACAGTACAGGGTACTATACAGTATTCACTTGACAATGTCCCGATAAATAGGGCAGATAGGAATGTTTTAAAACTAGATGAAATAATGGATGAATGTAATATTAACAACACAAAACCCACTAACTTACCTTCTGATTAGTGAAAATAATAAGTCTGTCACTTACTCCTAAATCTTCAGTAGCCCCATTACTGTTTTTTTTATAAAGTATATTCTGTAGCAGTTAGCAACTTTAAAAGGTCAACAGAACTTCACAATATTCTTTCTATAGTGTCCCTCTGTTCATAACAACCAAACTTCTTCATGAGCTATTTTTGGAAAAGAAACAGATCAGATTTCACAGCTCAATACTCAGAATACCTAACAAGCAAGATGTGCAAATATATATGAGATACTGTCCCCACCTCTAAACAAGTTTGTTTTACAACCTTGGTTAAGTCACGTATTTTATAGTGTCTCAGTACTAGAAAAGGAGCGTTTTCCAGAAATACATCCTCTTCAATGTGTTTTTAATAAAAGTAAGCAGGTAAAAAATTTCTCTTTGGAATTAAAAATCTCACAGACGTAAAGTTGTCGTACAGTCTGTATGTGCAGAGAGGAAATACAAAAGAGAATAAACTGGATGTGGCAGGCATTGGGTAAGTAAACCATTGGCGTTTCTGGATGTACTGCGTGAGGTGACAGTAGAACTTACATAGATAAGATCCATCCCATCAGGCTCCAAACGACAGATTGATAATATAGTGTTTTGATGACACTTTTCTTTTGCTAATACGCTATTAAAGCTTGAGTAAAATAACAGCAAGCTTATAAATGTTTTTAGTTGGAGGGTAACCAACTTGTATTTCTTATATTGTGAATGCATTCGATCCTGTGTGCATGTGTGTGTGTGCGCGCGCACGCTATATTACCTACCCTTTCCATGGTACTTTTAATAGTAAAGGCGGCCAGGGTCATATCCTTAAATTAAATTAAGGGGACTGAGACACAGGGAGATGAAATGACCTGCTCAGAGCAAATAAGCACACCTAAAGCCCTGACAGGATAAAAGTCTTAATTTTGCATAGTAGGCCCATTATTGTGATCTCACCCCTCTCCCCAAAACAAACAAACAAAAAAACACCCCACAACTTTCCTGCATTTTACATATCTTATGCAAACTTAACTTTCTAATGATAAAAACAATAGTTTGACTGAGAATTTTACATAAATGAACACACATGAGATTAAGAGGCTGCAGTGCTAGGTGACTGCATCAAGAGAAAGTCTAGAGTCCCTGTGTGTCTTGAGGATTATTTTTACTAATTGTGTTTTCACTTATTATTTTCCCAGTGGTAGCCACAGACATTTGTGAATTTGGTGGATCATTTAAAAACAAACAAACAAACAAACCACAAAACAAAACCACAAAGCATGCTTTTAATCTAATAAACATGTATGTACAGAATTTGCCTCCTCCTTAAAATACAAGTACAGTCTCCTTTCCCTGGTCAGTGTAAATTATCTCAAACACTTCTAGCGCTTTCTATCCTCAGAACTTTCCTCCCCACACCTCTCTACCTGAAGTTCCACACAATGTCTCTAAAATCAAGTATTTTCACGAGTGATTTTACAACTGCTTTCATTTTAGAGCAGCCAAAGAAGGACCCTAAGATCTCCTTCACGTATTTATAGAAGCCTTTACAAATTCTACAAACAACTAGAAAGGAACACTAGCACCAGATTAGAAACTTCTCAGGAAACAAGCAGCAGTAGAGAAGTACCATAGTGAGAATAACCTGACTCCTCATTTGCTCAGGTCAATCCAGGGGGAGATCTCTATCCCTAAGCAGACTGCTACATACCAAATGATTTCTTGTGCAAAGTATTCTGTGGCATTTTACCTTAAGTTCAAGTCTCGTAGTGTTTGCTTGGCATCGGTAAGTTGCAAGAAGAAAGTTGCTATTTGGCTGTGAACAATAAAAAATAGCAGAATAATACAAGCAGGTCTGTGGATTCACAGTTCTGTTGGTCTGTTTTAAATGTAAACATATATAGTAAAGGGTTTGCTATTTCTGCACAGCTATTTTACAAAAGATAAATACAACAAAGTAAGCTTTGGTCCCCTTGAACGTTCCAATTAACTTTAAAGGTGATAGAATAGCAAAGCGTATTGCTATACAAACGGACAAATCAACTGCAAACTCCTACACTCTTTAATAACACTGCATTAGGAAAAAAATATATATAGTTAGAAACTTTTTAATCTGAAGAGTATCTGCCAGCCTGTCCCACTCATCTGCAGTAGTAATGCAGCCTAATGCCTGAAAGCTACAGTTATACTAATTATGGAAGGAAAGATCCGTAAGAAAACGCACTGAAGGCAGGGAAAAAAAAATAGTAGCTAAATTAATGACCATGAAGAATGACAAGAAACTCAAAATAAAAGCTGATTTCTGAAAGCTCCAGGGTAAACCTATGAGGTGCCAATTCAGATCTTATTAAAACTAGAATACTTAGAGGACCATTACGAGGAAAGAGATATCACAGAACATTTTCATAATGTTCATAAATAGTTCCTGGATTTTCCCCCTAAAAGACATATGTACATACATATGTATATGTGTGTGTATATATATATGTATACACACAAATATATGTATGTATATAGATAGGTAAACACATATAAAAATACATATATAAGTATGTATTTATAATTGTATGATTATAACGTACATTAAAAATGCACTTAGTCAAGCTGTGACTCTCCAGACAGCAGAGTTTAAGTTCCAAAGTGATTTTTAAGAGATACAGCAGTAAGAGTGATACATACATACATGTATGTATGTAGGTATGTATGTGAATTAATGAAATGTTCCTTGCCTGAATTAGTTTCAATTGAATATGTACGATATTGAAAAATCAAAAGAGAACAATACTGAATACGCTGTAGACACCTCTAATTAGGAAGGAAAAAAGTGCCAGGGCAGTCACTTCTGGATCACAGGCACATTTAGCTTTACTCTATATCAAGGTCTTCCCCTAATTCCTAATTCTGCAGTATCTCTAATGATGCTGAGTTCTCTAAAATTACCAAGTAAGCAGCTTCACTCCATATATTTGAAATGGCAAATATATCCATCCAAATTCTGTTTTTTAATAAACAGTAGTAAGTGCTTTCATCACGTAATATCTATAAGTACCATTATTCCCTTTGTGTCACTCACCTCAGAATCACAGCTGCTAAAACTAACAACAGCAGAATTTTTATCTACATCCAGCAAGTCTATTGGGACATCACTCTGTAGAACAGACAAGGGTGGGAAAATTAAAAGTTTAAGTTCCCGCGTAGCTTCTAATACATTTATCCTCCAACTTCAATCAATCATTTTTAGTAACGTAGAGGCAGTACGACTGCTTCATCGTTTATATCCAACAGGTAAAAGCTTAACAGACATGCAACTTATTTCTTAAAGTTTATTCCCAGAGGAATGTGATGATCTTTCTCTTACTCTCTTATGGTGCCTTGAAACTCTTGTTGCGTGGCTGGCTTACAACTCCAGTACAAGATAGGCAACCGCCTTTCAGGCATGCATGAGGTACATTCATTCATGAACGAAATGCTTCCCCATTTTAATGGGGGGAATACAACATTCATTTAGTAAACAAAGGATCGTATGAGATCGTTATTAATGATCCTTTTACTTACAACAATGCTCTTGATACAGATCATTCCTTACCTAGATGTTAGTTTTCCTTTTAATACAAGTGAAAACACATTATATTGATAGCATAACAGGATTAAAAAGCTTTATAATGATTAATCAGTTGATTTGATATGGCCTTATAACTTAACAGAAGTGTCAGGAAACACCAGGAAATACGCAAACGACTTCCTAAAAGTCTTAAAACTTAACTTGAAAACAGTTTTATTGCCTTCTCCAGCAGTAGGAGGCAATACCAAGCATTACGTCAGAACTTACGGCCTTTTTAAATGAAAGCAAGCTCTCTAATAAACTCAGGCCTAGTTAAAACAATGCGAGTATTCCTTGCGGAACTAATAAAACTACAGAAACCATAGCGTTGCAAACTGGTTATTGCTTAGCTTTCCTCTGATTAAGTACTTTGCCATAAAAATAGTTAATAAAAAGTGAAAGAAAAAACAAAAATCATACAGTAGGTCCCTCCCCTTTAGCGTGGCAAATTTACCTAGACAGAAACTCCTCCTGGTCAAATTTTTCTCCCCAGGCATATCCCAAAAGAAGTTAACTCAGTACCACTAATTCTTCTGACTACCAAAGACACTGCATCAGCTGAAAGGAACGTTAAGAGGAATAACTAATTAAGATGGCTTTACTTCGCAGGCATATTTGTCACCAAACAAATCAGAAATTGCTGCATATTGTTAGAAAGGCACGAATGTGGCCATGCCGTTCTAAAAACTAATCTTCCAGTACAGACAGTAATTAACTGGCCCAATGAGAAATCAGATCATATTTAAGATCTGAACTCATTGCTGTTGAAACAAGAGTGATGTGCAAGAGTAAATACAAAAATTACATATAAGTCTAACAGTACAGCATATGTTTCAGTCTGTTTTGGTACCATAATGACACTCATTAAATATTTAAGTTCTATTTGTTTCAAAACAAGCACATAAAACAGTTGCATCAATATTTCACGGCTATACATTTCAACTCTCTTATAACAATTCAGACATTTAAAAGCAAACACCTACTTAGCAGATTATAAATAACTTGTGTTTTAAACAGAAAGTGTCTTGATGTTTTAACTTTTATTTAAAGATCCATGAAAGCCAACACAAAAACAAACACTCTTACCTGCACCAGGACATTATCTATAGCCGTCTGCACCTCCAAGATGAGGCTATAGCTAGCATCATCCTTATTTAATGTAAACTTGTCATTCACACTAAATGCAGGTACTGATGAAACAGCAGTACTGGACTGAGAAGACTGCTGGTATTTTTCACGTTCCTGAAGTACTTTCATCTGTAAGTGTTCCAGTTCATTCCTAGAAAAGATAAAACAGGTATAAAGCCTTCAGAAAAATTAACTGTAAAAGCTACACTAGAAATTAAATGATTGCTTTGCAAGTATAATCTATGTTTCTTATCTTCTGTCTGCTGTTTTCCAGCCAGATGTTACCAGTAAGTCCCCTCCCACACATACAGCATCACAAAGATAAAATACAAGCTACAGAACATGAAAATGTAGATTCTACCGTACTGTGCCTGAAGAAATTTTTAAGACACACAAAAAGGACACTTTCTTCTCTCCAGAAATACAACACAGTTTTAATAATACGCCAGTGACTATTTCCCTCACATCATTTAAAAGATATGATTCCTCGCTACCATGTTGTTCATATCTTGCTGACTCTGTGAGGAAGATGGCATCAAGACATCATCTGAAGACAGGAAGAAGGAATCATGAAACAGTAGATTACTACCGATTTCTCTTTTCAGAAGGTTTGACTCCATTTCTGGATACGTGACTGATACAAAACAATCTGATGAGATCAGAAGGGAAGAGGATATTTCAGCTTTTAAGTTCTGAAATCTTACTACATTTTTCAGTAAAAATTACCTTAAGGATGAAATCTTGCTTTGCATCTCTTGACTTAATTTTAACTCTTCACCAGATCCACCTTCTCTATGGATAGGTTCTGTAGTCAGTCCCGTCAGCCACCCTAAACCAATATACAAAGTTTATATTCCGTATAAATTATAAACAAAAACCTACATTCAGCTTTTTTGTCTCTGTGAAGTGGCTTTTGTTGAGGATATTGGATAGGGAGAATCAAGACTTAGTTTTATCCTGTTTTGGAGGATAAACTCCAACATGGATGACTCCAGACACTGAGTACAGATTTTTATGGGTAGGTAGTCATTCTACATTTACGAACTGGAAAACATTACTTTTTCATAGAGGAGTTTAAACAACAAAGCTATCCGTAAACATTTTTATCTGAGGGTTTATTTTTCTTTCCTACTGCTTCTGACAGAAGTTTTTCTAACACCTGGGATAATTTGCACCACTGTATTTGAATACACTGGAGAGAGCTGTGCAATGTATTTACAGCAAACTACATATTGCATAGCGTGTACTGAGATAGAACGCTGTTGGCTGAAGTGAAAAAAAATCTTTTTGGTTTTCTTAATGGCATTTACCTATAAAAAAATACATAATACTTAGCATACCTGAAGTGTCACAATATAACAACGCAGACTTAGGTGTTTAGCCTTCTAGAATTACCTCACCAAATGAAAACAAACAATAAAATTGCATTATTATAAAAAGCGCCATAACAGTTGACAAGTAAACGCCCACAGTCTTTCACATTCCTCAGCTATCTGCTTCAAGTACCAGATAACGGAACACAAATTTAAAAAAAAAAAAAAAATTCACAGAAGTTCTATATACCAGGCTTCAAATGTAACTTCTCCTGTTTGGAGCACTATTTTTCTTATCTGCCAAAATCTGCCAAACCCAATCTACTCTACACCACACTGGAGTTCGCCTTTGAAAACCCACAGGTGGACACGTGCTTTTCATTTTCATCTTTATCCCAGCACCACATCCAACTTTATTGCATAAACGATATAGAGCTTACCTGAATACGTGGCTGCTAGAATTTCATCATATCCATCTTTTCCTACACAGCCACCTTGGATTGATGCAATGCTCTCTAATAAAGCCTTCAAATAAATACATTCAATCAGAGGGAAACATCGCTGCACCCGTTTTAGTAGTTTGTTTTTGCATTTTAAGGGTTTTTTTCCCCCTCCTCCTTTCACCTGCATCACAAAATATCTACATAGATGCAGAATAGCTAGATACAAAAAGCAAGTAAATTAGCTGATGACAAACATAGCTCAGTCAGGGTGTTTTAATTCATACATTCTGATTCCACTCTGTGTAGCAAAGACAGTAAGAGGCAGCTTAAAGTAAAACACTGATGTAACAGTACTTTTCCAGCACTAATTAGCAGTCAGACTGAAGGCTGAAATAATCATTATGAACTAAATCCACTATTTTATCAATTCATAACCAAGGTAACTAAGCCCTGAAAATCCTGACAGCTAACATTTATTATTTCATACGCAAAAGACAGACTATATACAATTTTGGTTTAGTTTCTTCACAGAAAAAGAAGCACTACATTAGGTTTCACCCAGGAGAGGGCTCAGTAGCTACCAGAGATGGAGCATTAATATACCCGCTTTTGATTTTTGCCCGGATCAGGACCACGTCACTTTCTGCTTCTCAAATATTAGCATAACGCTTTGAAGTTCATACCATCAACATTAACAGAGCATATCAATTTTTTAAAGATGAATTACACTTTAGCAGTAACTTCCAATCTTGTAAATCCTTGAAATTCGGAAATATAGATTTTTTAAAATTCATTTTGCTAGCAACGAAGAATATGATGAATATGGACTTACATGATCGTATCGAAGGACAGGATCATCTGCGCTCTCAAAGTTATAGACTTCTAGCACACCATCATCTCGTCCAATGAGTAATTCTTTAACTCCATCTCCCAAAATGTCAAAACTATCGATACATAAGATACCTAATAAAAAAAATGAAACCACTTATTCGTCTTTGTTTATGGTACAGTAATACAGAGGCCACATTAAACTACACAGAAAAAATTCTTGGTCAGCTTTCAAGGTTTTATTAATGCTATTTCTCGCCGAGTCCACTAGAGAGGGCTGTAGTATCTGATCTACGGCCGAAGTTCAACAAGATGTCAAAGTGATTTTATGGCAGCCAACATCAAGTCAACAACACTACAGTCCCTACAGTCAACAACACTACCGGTGAAAGGCACTGCACAGATATCCCCTAAGCTCACTCCTGAAGGATTTAACCCTCCCACGTCAAAATTTTCCCCACATGAACTATTTGTCTGTCCACCCTGCCGTAATATTTTTTGTTTCCAAGAGCTTACATAAAGCTATGGTAAATGGACTACTACAAATTCTGGCTAATTTGACAGAAATAGGGTTGTGACTTGTGCCAGATCGGGATTAGGTTTATACCGCTAAATGATGTTAGGGCACAAACCCACTACACTAAATGTGGAACCACAGTCTATGACAACCAATTGTGTTTAGACAGGAAAGACAGAATTATGGTCTGGAAGGAAAAAAAAAAAAAAGAAAAAAAAAGAGTGAGCAAGCTTTGGAATAAGACTTAGTAAGAAAAATCAGATGGAACTGAACTTCTACAAGCCCTTCAGAGCATTTCAAGTACTTCACAGAAAGGATATGGCCATACTCAAATGCATGTTAAGAGAAAAATTTAGCAATATCTTTTATGAGATAACTAAAAAACCAAAACGTATTCCTAGTCCTTTCCTTTTCAAAGGAGTAAGGACTAATACATGTTACAGAAGTAACAGCATACCAAGATTAAAATGGAGAAAGTACTCTACTATGTTCTGACCAGTTAAACCACATTATGGAGCTCTAGGGAGAGCCTTGTTCCATTTTCAGAGAGAAACCATAAGAATGATTTTAAAAAAAAAAAAAAAAAAAAAAAAAAAAAAAAAGAGCCTTTCAGTGAAGATGCTAACCTTTCTTCTGAAAAGACTTTAAGACTACTGAACCCATGGAAAAATTTAGCAGGTGCACTTGCATTTAAAAATAGTCAAAATCATAAAAACCTTGAGAGATTATATATGAATTCATACTCTGTTTTAACATTGCCACTTTAAAAATTATACTATAACAACACAATTATACTGAGGGACTGGAACTAACATGAACAGAAAACCCAAAGCAAGACAAATTGATTAAAATTTATAAGAACAGAGAATGAAAGAGAACTTATTCATATTAATGTCATATACTGGAATAATTATAATACACATCTAAAGTATCTATGAATAATATCTCTTGATTATTATACTTGCAATAATACCTAAGCTATGCTGGAAAACTAAAGATGAAGAGACTGAGACACATACCTCCTCTCTTTTTTTCATTTCCAATTTCCCACTTATGTACAGGATTGGAACCAGTAATCTGGATCAGACCCACTTTACCATCAGAAGTTCCAAACACAATTTCTTCTCCGGAATCCCCTAGGCACATAAATTCAGTTTAGAATCAATACGATCAAGTACACCTATTTTAAAGAATTGAAAATAGCGTGTAGTTATACCCTACTTCCCAAGGATAAAATAAAATATTAGTGTTGTGTAACAGAACTGACAAGCTTTAAAAAAAAAAAATCCTAATACAAGAAAATTGCAACTGTCACAACAACTTCTTCACTGCTAGTACTCTCCTGTGCATGAATGTGCTCCTGCACTGGAGTTCTGCGTAGAAGCCAGGGCATTCATAAACTGGTACTTTAAATTTAGGCAGCGAGAGACATTGTGGTTCCAATTAGCAAATAAAATTGCCTTTGTGGAAGAAAAATTATTCATTAATAACACAGATCTAACAGTGAATACTGTATTGAGATTTAAGCGGGAAAAAAAAACCCACTACTTTTCCAAACCACCTCTGAATATTGCTGTCAAATAGTCTAACCTAAACTAAATTAAGCACCAGATTAACATACTAAAGGGATTTATATTAGGTTAAAACAGGTTAACAAGAAGCATGATCAAACTATTTTAAGCTCGATCTTTCTTCACATTCTCAGTGTACGGGAGCGCTACTCAGTATTCTCTTCCATCCATGGATGGATACAGCTAAGGATTCTAATTATGGAAATCTACATGAAAGAGAAATCCAAAACCAGAATTTGCATAAGGTCCCAAAAGGCCAGTTCATATTTACACAATGAAATCATCTTACATCTCACTGCTTCTTTAAGAGGCTTTCAATGAAATAAACAGGAATATCATTTAGAACTGTCTAAAATGTTATATAACAAGAATTCAAGTCAGAGCAGAAAAAGCATAAGGTGGAAATAGTCCCTCGTCCCAAATCTCCACAATAATCTCACCAGCAGCTCAACCTAAAACCACTATAGTACTCCTCCCTCCATCTCTCCCTTTACATCTTATTAGTTCCTCACTTGCCTAAGCAGTATAAATGCTGCAGCTCTGACTCAGAAACTCTTTTTTTTGTGTGTGTGAAAAAGGTAGCTTTAAACTTTGAATTTCTTTTACTGTCAACAGGCTTTTCATCCCATTTGCCACATATGAACCTCTTCTACTAGAAGAAGAACAACAAAAAAAACCCTCAGTTAATGATAATATCTTAAATACTATTATAAAATTTCTTCCCACTTTTCCAAACAGCAGGAAGTTACACATATACCTTCAAGTCCCCCCCCCGCCGCCACCAAGAACTCAGTAATTCTCCAATAATTTTGTTGAAGTGTGTGGCACAACTAAGTTCTCATCTAATTAAAACGTGTCAAAGTACTGATTCAAACTATCATCAAACCTGTATACAGATATAAGAAATGACTTTACATGGTCACAGCTCTGACACGCTTAACATCAGCTCCAAAATCAAAGCTGTATGCAATTAACAAATATAAGCATTAATATCTCAGAAATGTAATAAAGTAACCTTATTCAGTTATATGTATATTAAAAATCTTGTTACCACCATTTCCATTGTTTAGAGCAAGAACAGTGGGTGGTCCAGAAACTTCTACTTCATACAGTAAATCAGATCCCTAAAGACAGAGAAAACTGTCTTGAATGAGTTTTTTAATAATCACAGATGTGAATAAAATAATTACGTTTATCTACGTATGATTTACATAAGTTCTCAATACCTGTGGGAAAACCATTTCTAAGTCAAAACAGCATAAAGCTTATATAAATAAAACATAGGACTCATTTAAAAAAAAAAAATCTTAAAAGCTTATTATTACCATTTAAAAACTCATTTTACGATGAGATAGTCTGAGAATTCATCTGTCAGTAAGAAATAATGGTTTTATACTATTTAACATAACTCAGAACTACCACAACAATAATTTGAGAGAGTAAGAATTTCCCAACCTATGAACAGTTACACACTTAATTCACTTGTGTGAGCAGCTGTAGTTAAATGAAAAGGGATTCATTCGTTAACTACTTCCATCTATAAATTTCAAAGCCTATTTAGAGTAGAATTTTATTAATCCTTATTTTGCAAGTTTACAGTCATGATTTCCACAAAACAGAACTTTGTTTCTCAAAAGGAAAAAAAAAGCAGTTGCAGTACTATAGACAATAACGCTGCCAAACAAGATACAATATGCTTATATTTATAATGTTTAAAACATGTTGATCCTACTAAGAGTTAGCCAGATTCTATGGCACCAATAAACAAAAGAAAAACAAGCAAGTATTTTAACCTGTAAAACTCTGAGGACTCTATCCTGACATGCAAGTATAGGTGTAATGCAATTCACTTTCTCTACAGGAAGGCAGAGAACATCATTGATTTTATCTCCTGATAGGTAGTAGTGCTGGTCTTTGCAGTCACAGTAATGGTTGTAAATATAGCTTGCACAAAGAAAGAGATCTGCTCCTGAAATATGCCTGAGAAAAAGAAAACACTTCCTGTAGCATTTTGCCAGTATAGTTACAGTGAGATTCTTTTAGCCTTACCAAATACATGCACTATGTTACTGCTTGTAGATTCAAAGCACTAGCATGCCATGTAAGCTATCCATGTCAGCAATTAAAAAAAAGTTTTTTTATGAATGCTAAAACTATAGGATTTATACAGCTCTCAAATTTTATCTCCTGTTTTCATGTGAAGTCCTTAGAGTACCTTTAGAGAAATCAAATTAATATATTTTGAGCATACTAATTCTTCTCAAGCTGGTTTATGTACAATTTCCCCCAAGCATCTTACAACAAAAACAACAAAAAAAAAAGAATAAACAAGCTGGTCTTCTACAGGAGGGGTACAGGAACATCATATATTATCACAGCAATCCTAGCTTCCATCACCTCCATTTGCACCGAGGCAAGTGCCTCCACATCCCTCCCAAGCCCCTGTACGCTCACTAAACTTCACAGTAAGTTCCTTCCCACATGTCAAGCAACTGATACATGCTAACACTGGATGGGCACCTAGAACCATACACTAAAGTAAGAGAACTATTTTATAAAATCACAAACTAAAACTCCACTATGGATAACAAAATATATATATATATATATATATAAACACAATACATACATAGCTCTGATGCTTTCAGTGAGATTAGTCTCGAATGAAAGGAACTGCTTCCCTCTTTTTGTGAAACCTCTGACTTCTGAGCCTGTAGCCACGAAAATTTTCTCTTGCGGTGTATTAAGAGCTCCTCCTAACTCCAATCTTGCAATTTTTTGGCCTGGTAGTGTTTTGAACACTGGCTGTAAAACAGAAAAGTAATTTTTATCATCCTAATATTATTTTTACAAACATCTTTTAACACAAAGGACGATAAATCTACTCTACAATTTCTGGCAAAACAATGATACTACAGATCATATACAGACAAAAAAAAAACATACCGTACATTTCACCATCACAAAGAAATCAAGCATGTTATAAGTCATTACAAGGCTTTGAAATACAGTAAGTTAAAAGATCTTATAATTATATCATTATTTATCCAGATTTATCCAAGACAATTTCAGCATTGCTGGTAGCTGTGCAAGTTTTTTTTTTTTTTTTAATATTTTCCCTCTTGCATATTGCATTCCTATTCCAGAAAAATTTATTTAAATAGAAAACGTAACTTACCACAGCTTCCCCCTTTTTTATGCCAAAACATGTAATCACCCCATCCTGATCTCCAACAACAACCTTCAAAAGTATAGTACATCATTATGTTTTATGATATCCATAAATACTTTTAAATTAATACTTTTCCTAAGTTAATCATATTTTTCTGAAACTTAGTAATATTACTAAGTTCTACAGTACTTAGTTTACGTAGTTGCATGGGATTACGCTTTAGAAAAAAAAGTATAAGCTGCTAGAAATAGGACATTAAGGCCTAAGAACAATTCAGATATTAAGCAATAGCACTTACAATCCTTTTTCTGCTTCTTGTTGTAAAGGCCAGACATCATCCGGTGGTACCCACAGAAAGGCATATTTGGGAAACAGTTGCATTTTCATATTTTGCATTTATTATTTAAAAAAATGCAATGCTGTTTCTGTTGAGTTTTCATAAAGAATATTTTCCTCAATTTGAACTTATATTAAAGAAAAATTTTAAAATAATTTGTCTTTTTTTAAGCAAAATAGAAATAGAGAAATATGCAAGACCTTCCTTGCAGTTTCAGCAACTCTTTAAATTATAGTGGTTCTGAAATTTTTCCTACGATTTACCAGCTAGAGAAACTCTAAATATGATTTATAATATTATAATGGTGTTCTCCAAAATTGGAAAATAAATGAGTAAGAAAAAACAGAACAAGTTCTCTGCTGCTAAAACCCACTACCTTCTGTGTTGCCTTACGTCCTGAGGCAGGAAGAAGCTTCATAGTCTTCTGAGATGTTACTCCCACCTGTTTAAAGGCATATTCTTATTATTGAGCATTATTTCAACTCTGCTACTTAAACACAAAAAGATCAGGAGCAGTCACTGACTGAGGAAAAGCAATTCCCAACCAAGGGGAAGTGCAACACTTGGGAGTTGTCTAGGAACTCTTTAATTTGTCTGAACACACACAGAAACACCCAGCCCTGCTGAAACGGTGCTGGCACTCCCTAAACTCAGAATCCATCTACTCCAGAGCATACAGAACTATCATACTAATTCAGTATACGCTGTTTTCCCATCTTTACAGAGATTTGCCTGATCTTCTACCTTTATTTTAAGTTTTGTTTAGGTTTACGTTCACGAGATGGGAACCACTCTGCCAAACCTAGCGATTAAGCGCTGCTTGTCCTCAAAGGGACAGTTTGCTTACACAAAATTGTTTCTCCCACCTCATAAATAATAAAAACAAGCAAACAAACCAGAACAGCTACAAGAAATACTCACTCTGCACAAGCAGAACTTAAGAATTCAGTACTCAGTAAGGAGTCACCAGCACTAGCCGTCTTTGTCAACTGCCATTTTTCCAGCTTAGCTAACGCGCACCTACGCGTCGAGCTGAGAAAGCCCCCAGCCCGTCCTGTCGTTAACAACACCTTTACTAGGATGATTTTGACACTTGCTCTAGACACCTCTGCCTGCCGCTCCGCTTTCGAA